CTCCATGGCTTGATCTCACTTCCCTTTCAACTCTGTTCTAGTTGTAGCCTTCACAGCCTCCTGCAGCAAGGAGTTCCACAGGTTAACTATTTGCTTTGTCAAGAACAACAACTTTCTCTTACTAGTTTCAAGCCTGCTACCCATTCCTTTCCTTTGGTGTCCTCTAGTCCTTCTTTATGGGAACTCATGAAGAACTTTTCTGAATGCACCCTCTCCACCCAACCCCTGCTTTTAGAGACCTCTATCCTGTCCCCCCTCCGTCTCCTCTTTTCTAAGCTGAACAGTCCCAGTCTCTGTAGCCTCTCTTGATCTGGGACCTGTTCCCAACCCCTGATCATGTTAGTTGCCCTCCCCTCTCCCAGCCTTTCTCTTCCCCTCTCCCACCTCCTTTTCCCAGTCTCCCCCAGTTTTGTTCAATAAAGACAGAGTCAATGTTGGAAGAAACGTTATCTTTATTTTGTACATCAATAAGAAGGGGGGCTAGGGAAGGGTAAGTGGAAGGAGGTGAGGGAGGAATGGGGTACGAGCCCCCGATGGGGAGGACTGGGCTGGCTCTGTGGGCTTCTGGGGGTGGAAGCTCTCCTGCAGCCCCCAATTACTCCCTCTCCCCAGATGGCAGCCTGCGGCAAGTGCAGCCAGGCTGATGGCCGAGTGGTGTGATGTGCCCAGTGTGGGTACTCTGGGCACTCCAAGCCAGGACTGCTTTGCAAGCGGGGCACCCCAGAGAACTGTCTGTCCGGGGTGGGGGTCGGGACCCTTTAAGCGCAGCCCCCAGCTAGTTTTTAGTTCTAGATGCGTTAGTTCGAATTAGCTTAGTTCGAATTAACTAATTCGAACTAATTCGAACTAAGTTAGTTCGAATTAGCGCTGTAGTGTAGATGTACCCTCAGGTTTAAGGATCCATTTAACCCATCTAAGCATGGCATCCCCAAAGACGAAGAGAGCAATTTGTTACTTTAAGGGAAGTTCTGCAAAGCACTGGAGCAGAGTTTTCAGTTCTATATCCTGCCAAAAGGGGGATTTAATAGTTTTAAATATACTGTGGGCTGTAAATATGTGATGTAGATGAACATTGGTTGGACTGATGGTTTTGAAATAGAATAAGGAAAAATAATAATTTACAGCATTAATCAACTGTAACGGGGCTATATGGAAATAACTCATGCCAAAGCCATGTCCACTATCTGTAGCAAGAAGGAGACAGCGCTCTTCTAAAGAAGCTGATCAGGAGAAGAGATTCAGATCAAGAATGCACACATAACTGATCATGAAGCTGTAGCCAGTTTATTATGTGCAATAAAAAGGTTACACAATACGTACTTTAAGAAAAGACATAAAACACCAGAGTTGAATTTTGACCAAAATGTTAAAAATCCTGGACAGAAAGGTCTTTTTATTTGCAATTTTTTTGAGTAATAGGTTATTTTTCAGCAAACCAATAACATAGGGGGAGGGACATTAATTCTCTGCTGGCTGGACACTCTCATCTTGAGTCAAATTTACGAAGTAGTTGTGTTTTCTTTTCTTCTTGTTGTTTAAATGGGAGCTATTTGATAAATTTCATTTGTGCAGCACTACAGAATAAGATTACTGTATGTACTATACGAGTTCAAATTAATAGTCTTCTCTAGATTGATATGAGCTGGATTAATAAATAATAATAATAATAATTAATACCTGCCCCTGCTCTCTGTTGTCTGCTTTTATCCCTAGTCATAGTCACAAAAGGCCCTTTTCATCAAATTACATTTATGGCCTGCATCAGAGGATTATGAGTTCCAATGGCCCATATAAACTGATCTGACGTATTCATGGGAAATATCAGTCCAGGTAATAGCTCACATTCGAAGATGTACAGCTAGGGTAGAAGAGTTGTGCGAGGATGAGAGAATTCGAATATCTGGTTCCTTCCCCACAGTGCTGTACAAACTCCTGTGCTCAACACATCTCTTCTTCTCCACATCTCCAGTGGAGACCACAAACTGTACCACAGGTGTAGGGCTGCAGGGAGTCACTACTGTGCCTCTCCGGTACAGAGAGAGAGAGAGGCCAAATTCAGGTGAGATCTGCAGTTAGGAGCTATGTCAGTCAGGATGTAAAAATTCACACCCAGGACTTCACAGAGCTATGTCAACCCTAAGTCCTAGAGCAGAGGCAGCCATGTTGATGGAAGAATTCTTCCATTGATATGGCTGCTGACATATGGAGAAGTGGTGTTCCTACATTAGTGCAGGCTGCATCCACATTGCAGGATTATGCTAGCATGACTAGGTCAAAATAGCTAGGTCAGCATGGTATCCATAGTGCAGGCATATTTTAAGGCTATTGAAGCTCTGGGCTCCCCCATATTTGGGGCATGCTGCTCTCCCAGGATGATACTCCCTATTGGAGCTGTGCAAATAACTGATTTGTTGTTTTCAGTTGCCAAAGTGAGGGAGGAGGGGGGAAGAAGGAAGGATTTTTTCAGCATAACGAAGGTTGCACAGACGTCATTTCAGCTCAAATGAATTGTCTTCTTTGGTCCAAAATTAAATATTTTGAGGGTTTTTTATAGTTGTTTCAAACTAACTGGAATGTTGAAGCAAAACTTCTTTGAAGTGAAACTTTTCATTTTGGAAATGCCCAAACAAACCAGTTTAGCATTTTTGAAGGGTGCTGTAATGGGACCGCAACAATTTGCCAAAATCAACCCACATTTGTGCACTGATTTGGTAGAAATGAATCTCTCTCCTTTTTTAGTTAAAAAAAAGTGATTTCCACAAGAAAAAATAAAATAAAATAAATTCTCAGCTCTATTTCCACATTATGGCTTTACTCTTCCTTGGGTAGTAGTGCCAAGAATTACCCACACAAAAGCCATGTAGTCACAAATTCTGATTCACATCCACATCAGAATTCCCCAGTGTGTAGGAAGGTTAACATCTGGGGGTTCATTTTACCTCTTTGGCTGAGATTTTCAAAGGCAAAACCAGCTATTGGATGCTAGACCCCCATCAAAAGTCAGTGGGAATTACTCGCCAAACTGTCAGATGACCTTAGAAAACTTTCCACCTTGCTCAATTTGCTCAATGCATATAATAACTAAAGAACAGTGTTATAGATATCAGACTCAATGTGGATCACAACTAGAGTCAGACTGTTAGCACATCAGTAAAAAAAAATTATATCTAATGTACGAATAATTACTTACATGTTATATTGCTTCTTGGGGATTACTCTCCATTAGACAGATTTAAATCTTGTTAAATGCAGAAAAGAAATTGCTGATATTCTTTAAGTTTATATTGGGACATCTTTCTTCCTTGTAAAGTATCTCATGCATGTGTTGCTACGACTTCCACTGTACAGTAATTAAGATTTATATTGCTTTAGGATGTTTGATGCTAACACTGGAAATTATGTTTCTCTGAAAACAGAATGTAAATGTAAAAAGAATGTTTACACACGAGACTTTTCTCCACAGTGAACATGTAATAGGCACTTGCATATGGTTTGTAATATGACGCGACTGACCAAATACCAAACACAGAGATTCCCAGATACTTGAGTTAGATTATTTTAAAGTAAGGCTCTCTGTTACTGTTGAATTCTAAGTGCTCTAGAATGAAAGCAATATCCGTACCTACTTCATATATGCTTATTTTGCAGTGAAACCTTCCACCAGGGTAACATATGTCATATCACAACATGAACTATCTACATATTGAAATACCAGAATATGAGGGAGTATTTATATAACAGTAGCTCCAGAGTCCCTGACCAAGACCCATTGTGCAAATTGCTGCATGTGCACATGATATGAGTCAGTCTCTCTGCCCTGAAGAATTATACTGGTTGAATTTTTCTAGTTCAGCCCCCTCGGGACCTGACCAGCACTTGCTGGACCATGGGAGGTCAATATTTTCTAGCAGTATTACCAACACTTCCACTGCTTACCGGGCTCTTAGAAGACATTAGGGTGTGTCTACACTGCAGGGCTTAAGTAGAAATAAGCTACGCAAATTGAGCTATGTATCTTATTTTGATATAGGGAGCATCTATGCAGCACTTATTTCGAAATAGAGCACTCTTCCTCCGACTTCCTTTACTCCTTGTACAATGAGGGTTACAGGAGTTGGAGTAAGAAGTCCTCCAGCTTGACAGTATTTTGAGACTATTTTGAAATAACTGCTTGCTGTGTAGACATGAACTAAGTTATTCTGGAATAGCGCTAGTTATTTTGAAATAGTGTTGCAGTGTAGACGTACCCTTGGGGGTAAATTAGAGCTAAATAATAAGACTGGTGTCTGTAAACAAATTTTATGAGACTGCAGGAAACTTGGCCACACCCGTGATAAGTGGACAACCAGCTAACTAAAATCATCCTGGACCATGGATGTTGCCAGACTAGAGAGTTCCAGACTAGAGAGATTCAACCATATGAGGAGAGGTTAAAGGGACTGGGACTTTTCAGTTTAGAAAAGAGGAGACTGAGGGGGGATATGATAGAGGTATATAAATTCATGAGTGGTGTGGAAAGGACCGATAAAGAAAAGTTATTTATTAGTTCCCTAAATAGAAGAACTAGAGGACACCAAATGAAATTAATGGGTAGCAGGTTTAAAACTAATAAAAGAAAGTTCTTCTTCACACAGCGTGTAGTCAACCTGTGGAACTCATTGCCAGAGGAGGCTGTGAAGGCTAGGACTATAATAGAGTTTAAAGAGAAGCTAGATAATTTCATGGAGGTTAGGTCCATAAAAGGCTATTAGCCAGGGGATAAAATGGTGTCCTTGGCCTCTGTCTGTCAGAGGCCGGAGAGGGATGGCAGGAGACAAATCGCTTGATCATTGTCTTCGGTCCACCCTCTCTGGGGCACCTGGTGCTGACCACTGTCGGCAGACAGGACACTGGGCTAGATCAACCTTTGATCTGACCCAGTACGGCCGTTCTTATGTTCTTATGTAACTGAAAAATGGGTAGCACCTCAGTTTACAGATTTCTCTCTCTCAACTCTCTCCAATACTTTCCTCCAGTAGATCTCAATGTGCTTTACAAAGGAGGAGAACATTAAAATCGTCATTATCTCAGCTTTACCAATGGGGCCGGAATCTGACACACAGAGCAGCAACATGACTTGCCACAGGTTATCCAGGAGACCAGTGGTTGAACCAAGAAGAGTACGTAGTTCTCCTACTGACTTGCCCAAGGTAAGAAAGGAAATTTATGGTAGACCTGGGAAGCAAACAATCTCCGGAGCCTAGTCTACTGAGTGAACCACAACGCTAACCTTTCTCTCCTTTACATTTAGTGTCCCTTTCACACTTGCCATTTCAAAGTCAATACTGAGAGCTCTGGATTAGCAATCATTATTTGGAGTGCTTGTTTGGCTTTATAGAGCACAAATGGCATTCCAAAAGCCATTTCCTGCTGGTGCCAGATGCCTGTCCCTAACACCTGTCAGTGGGGGTTTCAGAGGCAGAGAGGAGATTGGAAGCAATTTCTTTGAATTTCCTCATTTTCCAAGGGAGGAAGCAATTTCTCACCTTTTGCTGAGTGTCACTTGGCTGCAGGTAGAGAACATTACAGCTTGTGGGAATACCAATTAGAGCTAATTATATTCTCACTGATCTGCTTTGGCATTCAAATGCCCAGTAGAAGAATTCATTCAGCAAAGATTCTGTTTTATAGATTCAGGAGTGGGATAGAATCAGAGAATTCTAGGACTGGAAGGGACCTCGAGAGGTCATCGAGTCCAGCTCCCTGCCCTCATGGCAGGACCAAATACTGTCTAGACCATCCCTGCACCCAAGATAGGAAACAAGATGGATATAATGATTAAAATGGAGTTGCTTATTTGAGTTTAAAAACCCCCAACAACTTGTAAGCCTAATTCAACACCAGAACACTAGAATCAGGGGGATAGAGACCAGCGGGGACATATCTCAGCACCTTGTTACAACTTCTCTGATGGTTTCACCCTGTCCCTGTTTTCCTGAGCTACACCTGACCTACAACTGCATTTGGAGTTGCTGCTCCAGTTGAATGCTTCAAAAACTGACAGCAGGATCATAACCTTAACTAGATTGGATGGGGATTTAAAGCAGAAGAAGCAGAAGTAAATGGAGCCTTCAACAAAATAATGAACAGAAAACTGTAGGGGAGAAATTACATCTTCCTTAAAAATAAAGTCCAGTATAATTGGCAAAGAGGAGTTTCACAATGTCAATGAGAGTAAAGCCTTAATGTCATAGTCTCTTAATGCATGTGTGTAACTCTCATTAGGCCAAATGGGGAATTGTATGTGAACAAGAGAAGATGATACGGTATTATTTTCTAAATCTAAAGCCTCCTCATTCAGTGTGTGTTTCTCCCCTGAAGCAGGAGATAAAGGTTATTGATGCAAAACCAGACTTTAAAGAGCCCATTCTGTTGAGTATATGGCTTGTCAGCCAGTGCGATAAAAGCTGGATAGTCTTTCTGTTGGTAAGGCGTCTTAAAATGTGCAACAGGTAAATGTGCAGAAGGCTTTCCAATACAGGTTGGACCTCTCTGGTCCGGCACCCAGGGAACCTGACTGATCCCAGATGGGGGATTTTGCCAGACCAGAGGAGGTCATTTCCAGACACTTTCCACCAGCCTCTCTGGCTGGTCTGCTGGCCTCTTGGCTGTCTCACTACCTCCTGCTGGCCCTGCTACCCTGCTGACCCCATTGGGCAACCATCATTGCCATGGCTCTGGGTCCTCTCCTTTATTAGGTTGGAAGAGAGCTAATTATATGGTTCTTCAGCAAATAAGCCCTTTTATGTTCGTGTATATGTTGTTTGTTGTCTACTTGTTCACTTTCTGAGTGCATAATTGCTTGAAGTGTATGGTGTAGGCTGTTTTGGGGACCACGTGCTGTACTAAGCAGCCCTAGATGAGTCTGAGAATTTACTAACAAGGTTCTAGCTTTCTATCATTTAATTGATCTCTAGTTCTTCTAGGACCCCTTGATAAAGGGGTGGGGCTAACTCATGGAGAACAAAGGTTAATAGCCAGCTCTCATATGTCCAGAGGAGCTGGCAGATAGGGGAGATTTGCAAGGGAGGTGAAAGAGGGATTGTGAGAGGCTTACCTAACAAACATACTCTACGCATAGGCTAATTGTTACCTGGGGTTTTCAGAATCCGGAACAGTGGTAACTTAACTGTTTCACTCCAGGTAGTATCAGGAATAAATTAATGGGAACACAGCAGTTCTGTCAGATAGATGATTAATACAAATAAGCCTGCCCTGATCTAAAACTGCAATTTATTAGCTATTAAGCACACTCAGTCATATACAAAAAGTTTAGGACATGCCAGTTATAGTTATCCACAGTCTGACATGGTTTTGAGTAATCACCAGCCAGACTTCCAGGGGTCCTCTTTCCATCCAGCTGATGGTGAGTTTAGATTTCAGCTCATTGCCAGAAGAAAGGCCCCCTCAGACTGCTCCTAGGTAGATAGTCTTACCTAATCTTTTATAGCTAACTCTAACAAAACACATTGGCTGTATCTATGCTGGCCACTTATTCCGGAAAATCAGCCGCTTTTCCGGAATAACTTGCCAACTGTCTACACTGGCCCCTTGAATTTCCGGAAAAGCACTGATGATCTACTGTAAAATCATCAGTGCTTTTCCGGAAAAACTATGCTGCTCCCGTTCAGGCAAAAGTCCTTTTCCGGAAAACTGTTCTGGAAAAGGGCCAGTGTAGACAGCACAGATTTCTTTTCCGCAAAAAAGCCCCAATCGCGAAAATGACTATCGGGGCTTTTTTGCGGAAAAGCGCGTCTACATTGGCACGGACGCTTTTCCGGAAAAAGTGATTTTCTGGAAAAGCATCCTGCCAATGTAGATGCACTTTTTCCGGAAATACTTATAAAGGAAAACTGTTCCGTTTTAAGCATTTCCGGAAAAGGGTGCCAGTGTAGACGTAGCCATCAACTATAGTGACTCCCAGTGGGTTTGCATAATAACCTCAACTGGGTCACCAATTTTCCTATTTTCAACAAACTACTCCTTATCTCAAAGCATTTCTAGTATTTTAGCCATAAGCACAGAGCCACCTAAACCCAAGGTCACTATCCACTCATTCTCACTGTCCACCCCTGTGATAGGTGCTGTCCATTTGGGATGCAGCCCAGTGTGCATGTTTCTTCCCTGCTGAGACAGAAGATAGGAGAAAGAAGACGCTTACCTCTCCCAGTTCCTGAGATTCCTGGTGTCTGATGATCATGGCTCCTGTCTCGTGGTCTTGGTGATGTCACCCCTTTGTGCTGTGTGTCACCCCTTTGTGCTGTGTGTCAATGAGAATTGTGATGTGTTTACCCTTTTAATTTGTTTTACTCACCCTTAGCATTGTTGTTGTTTTGGGGATCTGGGCTTGATTTGTTACTACCCAAGTGATCTTTGTCTGATAATTGGGAATAGCTGCAGTAGTAAGAACCAGAGGCCGGGTGTGAGACAGGGCATGCTCTCAGAATCTGGCAGGAAGAGGGCTGACATTGCAGAAATACACACTTCTAAGAAGTGCAAAGTACAGAGTACTGATGCAAACACATTCTGGTATCAAGTGGTATCAGAACAACTCAATATCAAGGAAGGTACAAAATATTCCACAAAGAAAATAGGAACACACTGACCCCTCCTAAAAGATAAGGTCAGGATGATAGTATGTGACTTGTTTCTGTCAGGGTGCAAAGATGTATCTCAGAGGAAGTATCTTTGGCTAGTCTAGGGGGGCCAGTGGAGAGTACCAACACTACTACTAATAGCATTACGTGTTGTAGTATGCTATTACCACACTATTACTCATGCTTCATTGACAGAAAACTTGGCTGGATGTCTTCATGCCTTAGTTGATCTTGTGGTCTTTGGGTGATTCACTCATAGTCCGCTAGGCCAACTGCCTGCTCAGAGCTTGGACAGCACACAGGGAGAATACACACATGCAGTCTAACATCTGCCCACAGTTGTTAGGGAGGCGGTCCTTCAATAAATTGTTATTTGTTTTCATCTATTCCTGCCTCCTTGGTTCTTGGTCAATAAATCACTAACCAATGAGAGAGGGCAGGCCTTGTAGTAATGGGTTGGGTTTTCATCCCCCTTAATTAAGTTAACAAAGGTGGCACATATTTTAGTGAGAAGTATATTTTAGTATATACATTGAGGGCTCTTCAACACTTGACTGATGCATGACTAATCTGGGCAGAATTCAGCTTTCTATGGGATGAGGTGCATTTCAACAAGCTTGGGGGTTGTTCATTCTGAAGGTAATTTGGTTATTAGTTATAAGGCTCCTAGACTTCTTTCTGCTCTAGCCATGTCTTAGGTTGTTTGATCAGTGTCTTGTCATTTTTAGGAGTTGGTGTGCAACCTGCTCTGCAGTAACTTTGGACCGTCGCTCTGCCTTCTTTGGATTATTGTTGACCTTCTTAATGGCTATCGAGGCTTTTTTGCTGCCATGAGTCATGTCCACACACTCAGTAGGATTCTACCATGACTTCTGTTTTTTCTCCTTTATTGCAAAGACCAATTCTGACTGGGATGCTATCCTGAGCAAATGGATCTTCTCTGAATTTTGCTTGTGTTTTATAGACCTGTTCTCTAACCAGGATGATAGTCCTGACACATCATTCATTCTTCAGCTTTGTGGAATGTACTTCTTTGAGACAGTGCTCACTGCAGTAACAAATTTTGTCATACATTTGTGGCATTGGTTCAATTTTGAGACCAGGTCTACACTTGACCTGGAAGGTCAGCTGAAGGTACACAACTCCAGCTATGCAGAATACATAGTTGGAGTTGGCTTACCTTAAGCTCAGCATGGTGGTATCCACACAGTGCGAGGCTGAAGGGAGCAAATGCTCCCGTTGGCTTCCCTTACTGCTCATGACTGCAAGGAGTATAGATGCTAGCTGGAGCTGTCCTCAGCATTTGATTTATGGGTCTATACTAGACCTGCTTAATCAAATGCCAGAATGTTAATCTCCAACACGGTGTGCCCTTAATATATTTTATGGATGGTTATAAGCGTATCAGTAGAAAGCACTATAGATGGTAATAGGAAACATACTGTTGTACTGGACTCTAACAATTGTCAAATTATCAATTCAAAGTGTATTAATCATTTGTGAACCTTTAAACTCTATTTTTCAATGGTACCCTTCATATAAAGTGTAACTGTCTTTCCACTGACTTTCCTTTGGGTGAAAAAGTGATTTTCTTTCCTCTAACTAATTGCATCTTACTGATATATCTGTTGTGATGAAAAATCTTGGTACAATTTAATATAAATAAAACCTTTAGGATTCTATAGAAATTAATCAAAATAAATTTAACAATACCACACAGAATCTGAGGGAATTATATACAGCTTTCTATAGCTGTTATTTTTATGTTTTCCTAGGTCATCCTATAGAAATCAATCACATGGGATTTTGATTTTCTATCACATGCTCCCTTTTCTCCTAAAAAAACCATAGAAAAGTTATCTTGCAGATTCCATAGGACTTTCCCCTAAGTCAGCACAATTTGATGTGTGCATTGTTGCAAAGTGTCACCATCATTTTGGTAGTCAAACCACATCGTTAGTCGAGGCACAGCAGTAGGCAGCTCAAAGCAAAAGGGAGAGCATTAGGTGAAATTGGAGCAGACTTGATCTTTAGACTGCAAAGTGTTCATATTCTTTTGCACGGCTGTAAAGCCCCAGGCTGCTACTTCCATTGGCTCTCAAGTGAATAGTGACTGCTGGAGGTAGCATTCTACTTCCGTAATCTTCAGGTCCTTTTGTCTAGAGGATATTCAGATTTAAAAGTGGATTTTTTTTTAATTACATCTCATGGAAATAAAGAATTTTAAGCCGGGAAGGATAAGATATCCCGGGTTTGTGTGTGTTGGCAAGAGAGAAGGCACAGGGATTTCAGTGGGCCAAGCCCTTTTCTAACAGACAGTCTAATGAAAAATCCCATTACACTCTTCTGAGAAGCAGCAACAGTTTCTGCAAGGAGCTGAGACAAACCGAACAGAAGATATCCAGAGTAATGACACATGCCAGCAGAGAGACACACGTACAGCTGCTGCTCTGCTTGGACTGCGGGAGGGTGTTATTTTTCAGATATCAAACATGCTTAAATCAGCTGTTTGGCCATTCTCACCAAATTTATACCTGCTGTTTGCATGCAATGCTCATCCTCAAAAGATTTCTAATGTGGCAATTCTCATTATTAACACTGATAACAGGATCTTATGTAAAATGCAGGACAATGTAGCACTTTAAAGACTAACAAGATGGTTTATTAGATGATTATTTGATCTGAGGAAGTGGGTCTGGCCCACGAAAGCTCATCATCTAATAAACCATCTTGTTAGTCTTTAAAGTGCTACATTGTCCTGCATTTTGCTTCAGCTACCCCAGACTAACACGGCTACATTTCTATCACAGGATCTTATGTGAATCAATGAAGTTTGGGGAATGCCAGAGTCAGTTCATTGCAGAGCAAATATATTCTTTTATTATTCCCAAACTCCTTTTTTTATATTCCCTTCTATGTAATCTGGGTTGCATAGCTATGCTTGTTTGTCTTAGCAAGGCTTGATATTCCATTTAGGTTGTCCCATTAATGTATATGATCATAAGTAATCTGGAAAAAGGGGTAACCAATGGGGTGGCAATATTTGCTGATGAAATAAAACTACTTGAGATTGTTGAGTCCAAAGCAGATTGAAAGCATTACAAAGGGATCTCGCAAAACTGGGAGACTGGCCAACAAAATGGCAGATGAAATTCAGTGTTGATAAATGCAAATAATGCACATTGTAAAATATAATCCAAACTATGTATATAAAATGATGGGCTCTACGTTAGCTGTTACCACTCAAGAAAGAGATCTTGCAGTCATTGTGGAGACTTCTCTGAAAATTCACTCTCAGTGTGCAATGCTAACAGAATGTTTGGAATCATTAGGAGAGGCATAGATAAGACTGCAAATATCACATTGTCTCTATATCCATCCATGGTATGCCCACATCTTGAATTCTGCATGCAGATGTGGTTGTCCCATCTCAAAAAATATATATTGAAATTGAAAAATGTTTCAGATAAAGAGCAACAAAAATGATTAGGGCAAGGAACAACTTCCATATGAGAAGAAATTAATAAGAATGGGAATTTTCACCTTGGAAAAGACATGTCTAAGGGGAGATATGATAGAGATCTATACAATTATGACTGGTTTGGAGAAAGTATATAAAGGAAGTGTTATTTAGTCCTTCTCATAACACAAGAACTAGGGGTCATCAAGTGAAATTAATAGGCAGAAGGTTTAAAACAAACAAAAGGAAGTATTAATTCACACAACACATAGTCAACCTGTGAAACAGCTTGCCGGAGGATGTTATGAAGGCCAAGCCACAAACCAGGATAAAAAAAGAACTAGATACATTCATGCTGGATGAATTAAGGAGGCATGGCCTCCCTCATAGATTGACAGGAAGAGATCGCTACCCACTATCTGCAGGGTGAAGCTAGGAAGGCCAGGCCTTGCCTGCTAGAAGTGGTGGGGTCAGACAAGAAGAAGTGTAACAGGCCAGCTCTGAAGTTCAGTTGGACTGGAGCTGCCAAAGGTGACAGGAACTTCCTGCTTGCTTATGGATCCTGAAGAGGATCCTTAGCATACCAAGGACTGGCAAGTGCTCTCAGGGCCACCTGCTGACTGAGACACCAAGGAGCTGCTGAGCCTGCTGTTGAAGGATGTCAGAAGTAGCCCAGAGAAACTAGATGACAGTTTTTAGTGTTGGCCTGATACTAGGTGAGCATGTTTTGGGCAAATCCCCGCTGACTCTGCGGTAGATTACTCAGCTACTGTTAGGGTCATGGGCTAGGATGTGGTGGAGTGGGCCTGTATCTTCCTACCCTTTCCACCTCCCTCTTGGAGTGACAGCCTCCCCAGCTTAGGGCAGAAGGTCTGTGTTGGTCTACCATTCAACAAGCTAGGGTGCTGGAGTGTGTTGGTACACACCTCTGGCAGAGCCCTGTAGACTATTTGTTACCGTGCCCTGACTGAGGTCTGTGGTGCATAAACTGCTTTACTGCTCTGCCCTGAGGGCCTGAACACCAGAAGCAGTTACTTCCCCCTTTTGAAATCACCCTTGCAGGTGGGTGTCAGCGAGGAGGCATGGCCTCTCCCAGAGATTGACTGGGAGGGATAGCAACACACTCTTACAAAGGATAAGTCCATCTATGTGCTAGGATGGGCATGGATAGTGTCTCTAGCGTTTGCAAGAATCTGGGAATGCACAGTAAGGGATGGATCACTTGATGATTATCAGTTCTGTTTGTTCCCTGCAGGTCATCTGGCATTGGCCAATGTTGGAAAACAGGATACTGAACTGGATGAACCATTGATTTGATCTAGTATGGTCATTCTTATGGTCTTGTGTAATCTGAGATCCTACAAAGAAGAGGAACAAACAATGGGGGGTATGTCTGGGAAGACACATACAGGCTACATCTACACTATGAGTTTTACCGCAAGAGCCTATGCAAATGAAGTGCGGATTAGCATTTTCTCATGCTTTATTTGCATACTCTCTTCCGGTCCGTTTTTGTGCTAAGGGTTTTTGCGCAAAAACAAGCAGTGTGAACATTTCCTTTTTGAGCAAAACCCTCTTTTTGCACAAGATTGGTATGGATCTTGTGCAAAAAAGGGGGTTTTGCACAAAAAAGAAACATCCACACTGCTTGTTTTTGCACAAAATCCCCTAGCACAAAAACGGACCAGAAGAGAGTATGCAAATGAAATGCGAGAAAATGCTAATCTGCACTTCGTTTGTATAGGCTCTTGCTGCAAAACTCATAGTGTAGACATAGCCACCGTGCTTCTCTGTGTATCTTATTGGGTCTTTGATGGGAGGAAAATAAAGCCTTTTCCGAAAGATCCCTTATCCCTCTTAAAATAAGGGATAAGAGATCTTTTGGAAAAGGCTTTATTTTCTGCAAGATCCCCATCTAGACTGGTGCTTTTTTCCGGCAAAGCTACATTCCAAAAAAAGCGGCAGCCATTTTTATGCTAATGAAGCGGGGCAGATTTAAATCCCCGCTTCATTAGCAATTGAGATATGTCTAATTTGCATCCCTTTTATGAAAAAGGGATGCAATCTAAATGTAGCCTTGATGAAGAAGAGATGCCTAACCTAGTGAATGCTAGTGGAAATGCATTAGGTTTGGAAGTTAAAATAAAAGAACAAGTTAAAAATTACTTAGAAAAGTTAGATGTCTTCAAGTCACCAGGGACTGATAAATGCATCCTAGAATACCTGAGGAGCTGATACAGGTTGTATCTGAGCCTTTAGCTATCATCTTTGAAAAATCATGGAAATCAGGAGAGATTCACGAAGACTAAAAAAGGGCAAATATAGTGCCCATCTATAAAAAGGGAAATAAGAACAACCCAGGAAACTACAGACCAGTCAGTTTAACTTCTGTGCCAGGAAAGATAATGGAGCAGGTAATTAAATAATTCATCTGCAAATGTCTGGAAGAAAATAAGATATGATTAGGTAACAGCTAGCATGGATTTGTAAAGAACAAATCATGCCAAACCAATCTGATAGCTTTATTTGATAGGATAACAAGTCTTGTAGATAAGGGCAAAGCGGTGGACATAGTATACCTAGATTTTAGTAAGGCATTTGATATCGTCTCACAAGATAGTCTTATCAATTAACTAGGCAAATACAATTTAGTTGGAACTACTATAAGGTGGGTGCATAACTGGCTGGATAATCATTCTCAGAGAGTAGTTGTTAATGGTTCACAATCATGCTGGAAAGGCATAACAAGTGGGGTTCCACAGGGGTCTCTTTTGGGACTGGTTCTGTTCAATATCTTCATCAACGATTTAGATGATGGCATAGAGAGATGGCAGATGATACCAAGCTGAGAGGGGTTTTAAGTGCTTTGGAGGATAGGATCATAATTCAAAATGGTCTGGACAAACTGGAGAAATGGTCTGAGGTAAAAAGAATGAAGTTCAATAAGGACAAATGAAAAGTACTCCACTTAGGAAGGAACAATCAGTTTCCAACATACAGAATGGCAAATGACTGTCTAGGAAGGAGTACTGCAGAAAGGGATCTAGGGGTCATAGTGGACCACAACATAAATATGAGTCGTCAGTGTGACACAGTTGCAAAAAAAGCAAACATGATTCTGGGATGCAT